ATGTTAACGGGAAGGTATGGTGGTGTGTAGTGGTGTATGGGGTGTTGTGCCGGTGTGTGTAGTGGTGTATGGGGTGTTGTGCCGGTGTGTGTAGTGGTGTATGGGGTGTTGTGGCGGTGTATGGGGTGAGGGGGGAGCAGCCTGGGAGAGGCTAGGCGGAGGACCAGGTGGTAGTAATGGCTCCAGCAGCAGCAGGGGATGACGGCTGCAGCAGGATGTGTGGCGCCAGGGAGCATCGCCTGCGGAGGCTGCGGTGCTGGAAGGCACGCTATCCTCGTCTAGCAAAAGGGGAGAGGGCTTGCCACCCCTACAATGTAATCGGGTGTAATGTGTTGGGTGGCGCCAGGCACAGGGTGAGTCAGGCGCCAGGAGAGGGGTGGCACCAGGACCAGCTAAGGGTTGTAGGGGGAAGTCTGGCAGCATTAGAGAATTAACACGCTAGACGCGCCGTAACACGGGCAGCTCCTGTGCCGTGTGGTATATACCTTGTGTAACAAACTGATTAATGAATCCAGAAAAGCTGTAGGATTAAGATGGAGTTCCAGAAATTCCATTTTTTTGTGTTCTTGTCACTACGGGAAAAAAACGGGGAAACAAACACAATCAAAACATGAAAAATAAATTGAAGTTTATGGTAATGCTATTACCAAGGAACACCATTATTGTTCAGGAGATGCCTTAGAATCAGAATTATAAATTTTACTCATAAAATACACATCGTTCCACTAATGACTGAACTACACCACGTGTACAACAGGCTAAAACTAACAAGTTTTGATTATAACGTGAGTAACATTTGGCTTACAATACGAAAGGGGATGTGTATATTAGGGGAGATATATGTTAGTGAAAACAAGAATGTGTAGTTGACCATTAAAGTGACGAGACAAATATTAGCAAAATGTTCATTGACAAATTTGAATTTGAGAGCATGTGTGATACCATGAAGTTATAGAAATGTGTCCACTGAGCAGTGGACGTCACTTGGGGGCCATCCCGGATCAAGATGAGCCCACACACACACTTCAATAGAACTCAAAATGGCTGTCATCAAACCATCTCTTTGTGACAGTACTTCCTGGTTGATGGGGTTCTGGGAGTTGTTCTACTCCCCAAACCCTGGTTTGGTCCACCAGGCTGTTGCTTGGAGCGGCTCGCAGACCCACATACCCACCACAGCCCGGTTGGTCCGGCACTCCTTGGAGGAAAAGTCTAGTTTCTTTCATAATTCCTTCGTAATTCCAAATTTTCCATTGGGGTCTCCCTGCTTTGTCTGCCGTTGTCCCTTATTCCATCCTGCAGACTTGCAACACTCATTCTTAACTTGCACTTCCTAACAATCAAGGAAGGCAATTTCTTGAGACATTTCTGTGACCAGTGATAAGAAAAGAGCTAATTGTGACTATTTCTAATTATTGTCGGACGACTGTCTCGAGAGCATGTGTAGTGTTTACATTGACGTGTAGTACCATGTATCTCACACACTACCTTAGACATCGCTGGGAGGAGGGGTAGAGGATCGTTAGGGGTTAAAGGTGAAGTTGAGGTCACCAGAGGATGTTAGGGACGCCTGAGCCCTTGCTAGTGTCTCCTTTGCTGCAGAGGCGGTGATAATGGTGGCAATAATAGAAGCCAAACACTGTAGTGTGGTCGCCATTGGTGTAAGTTGGTACTAGAGTGGGAGAGGCAGGGTGTGGAAGGCTGAGAGGCAGGGGGGGGGAGGCTAGGTGTTGTAGGTAGGCTGAGAGGCAGGAGGGGGGGGGAGGCAAGGTGTGATAGGCTGAGAGGCAGGAGGGAGGGGGAAGGCAAGGTGTGATAGGCTGAGAGGCAGGAGGGGGGGGAGGCAGGTAGGCTGAGAGGCACTAAGTCTTGGGTTGATGAGCAAAGTGGGGTTGTTGTTCACCAAGGTGACCACTTGACCACCCGCTCAGTTTACCCACTTTTGAAGCGTGACGCAAAGATCGAGAACTGTGTATACAAGTAAACTAAATAAAATAATGGATGCTGTCTACGTTTGTCAATGCTTTGGAGTTTACATTACGAACTCGGCGTTTGTGTTAGCCAAACACTATCTGTAAGACTGGCGACGACGGAGTGCTAGAGGATGGCTCATTACCTCTGAGGCGAGGCGCAGCTCGTCTGGGGCACTGACTGGAACTAAACAAATTATGAACAATCCCAACATTCCCTGGGAAAGAAGGAATGCTGTTTCCCCTCAACATGCTGAATGCTGAACCCTCAAGCTCTGTATCACTACATACGTGCAGTAAATGCTGAAACATTCAAAATCTGCACAGAGGGAAAATGGATCTATCTTGGAAAGTGAGCTCAGAAAACTATATAAAAATTCTCTAGTGTCTATATAGGACTCGACAGAGGCAAGCAAACCTTCAAAGAGAAATCACGAAGATTGAGCGAAGACTAAAGCGCACTCATCAAAAAATAAAGAAATACTAAAAGAACAGAAAGCTATTCAAGAAATAAGAAAGGACCCAAAATATTTACATAAACAAAATGCAAATCCATGTTTAGCGATGTAGTGTGCAAGCAGAAGATAGCGAGAACGTTTTCAAGGACTTGAGGTACACACAAAGACACATACCGTATATTAAAAGAATTTGCACCGACTTCTTAAGGAAAATAAACATGGCCTTCAGACCTTAAGACTCCAGACATCGCCCAAGTGCACAGAGAAGGGAGTTAAGCATTTGCAAAAGCTTCAAGACGAGTGGCACTATAGTAAGAGCTGCCGTACAGGCCTGGTCGAGGACCGGGCCGCGGGGACACTAAAAGCCTCGAAATCATCTCAAGATAACATCTCAAATCTCAGGGGTCACGACTATACGCCAGGAATATCTCGGCTCTCGCAATACTTGATCATAATGACAACATTGTACAGGAATTAGAAGCAAATTCAAATGCAGAATTTGCCGAGACGTTTGATGACCGTGACTATGGAAGAACGGCTCAGCAAATAGAAGCTTAGTGAATAATAAGAGACAATCCATCTCCTTACTATATCTATTTTCTAACAGATTGCAGAAAATGAAAGTAAGTCGAAGACAAGAAGTTGATCTGATGACTCCGGCAGAAACTTGTCCAGTTCTCCCGTGAAAGATTCCATTGTTCCAGCAAGTAGTGCTCAGTCCTCATGGCCCCTGGCAAGGGAAATAAGATAGCATGGCTAGAATATATCTACACAGGTTCTTCACCGTCTACATAGAATCAGTGCACGGAGACCAAGCTCTCACAAGTCAAGCCTGGCCTCGGGCCGGTCTTGGGGAGTAGAACTACTAACAGAACCCCCATCAAGCAGGTATCATGCAAGTGAAACTATCAAGCCACTGGGACTGCTTCAACTCCCTCAAATTGGTCTCCTTGGAACCCAGAAAGAACCTCCTTGGAACCCAGAACCCAGAAAGAACCTCCTTGGAACCCAGAACCCAGAAAGAGGTTTCCTAATGTTAAAATTTTAAATACTGGAATGTCGGTTCCCAAACCTGCGCAATACAGTTGCAACATAGTGAGGTGAGATATGTGGTAGAAAGTGTAAAATAAATCCAACGAAATGTTGGGACGCCATGTAACACAATTAGAGAACAGTGTAAACATTAGAGGCCAACCACTAAATATGTATTATATATGTATACGTATATATATATATATATATATATATATATATATATATATATATATATATATATATATATATATATATATATATATATATATATATATACATGTATGCATGAGGGTGTGTACATGTGTATATAACATTAATAATTATGTAACTAGCGTCAAAAGATTGTTACTTGCTTAGCTAAACGAACTAGAGGGTTCAGTTCCTGAACCGATTATGTGCCTTTGTAATCCTTTACACCACCGCCCACGGGATGAGTATGGGGTGCATAATAAAGAAATTGAATTCTTTCATCCTCCTGCGAAAAGATACAAAGGCATAAAGCAGTATTAAAATCGGCCACAGGTAAGATAAGGTGTATAGGTGATGGAATATACCATATATCTGTGGGAAGAGCCGGCTTGTGTGTGTCGCTCGCTTATACTACAAAACAATACTGAAACATTTGTAATACTCACACTTCGTGGATATTTAGTTAACAATCTCGCTTATATTGTTTAATTCGTGAGAATTTGGTGGAGGTGTTGAAGTTCTTTATATAACAGCCTGCCACTTTATGTAGGGCATACGTAAATCTGTGTATCTATGTATTTACGTATGTAGGTTAGCTTAGCATTTTAAAAGTACCGAATCACCTTCTGTGGTTGATTGTTCAATAAATCCCTGAACTATATGTTTAACACATCTCTAACCCTGTCCATGGAGGACAGAAGAAAATGTATATATGCTGGTTAGCATTGTAAATGTGTGGCCACGTCTGTGGTAGAAAATAGTAATAAAAAAAAACTGAGCTGATGCATAATATTATAAACAATGCTGTAAATTTGCCTTATACACCGATGTTGAATACATTAATGTCACATATTTTTATACAATACAGTTCATGGATGCTTTGAATTGCTCGGCAAATATCATTTTTAGTAATTCCCGACCGGATTTTGTTTTATGTAACCCCTATATATTGTGAAATTGATTATATTTACTTGTAATAGTGTAATAGGTTGAGTAATATGTGGATATGTAAGGGAAGTTTTACTGTTTGTCCGAAACGCTCTGCGTACTAGTGGCTTTAGGTATTGTATGTACTACCTATTTATTTATTTATATACAAGAAGGTACATTGGGTTTGTGAGAATACATAGTATTTACTATGTACATAGTTTACATATATACTATTTACATAGTATACATATATACTATTTACATAGTATATATGTACAGTATTTACACTCTTGTAAAGCCACTAGTACGCGCAGCGTTTCGGGCAGTACCTCTATCTTTAAATCAAACAGAATGTTTGTACTGTAACTCTGCAACTATGTATGTACATTTCCTAAATAAATTATTATTATTATTACAGGAGAGAAGGGGAACAGTGGGGCGCCGAGCGGTGGGAGCAACAAGGAACAGCGTCGCTCGGACCCTGGAAGCGCGGCCAGTTTGGCGCTGGCCAACCACCACGCGAGCACCACCAACGCCCCCACCACCAACAATGCCCACACGGCCCCCACCAATACCCACTCCTGTGTCAGTGGGGCCGACCTCCCCAACAATGGCGCTGACCCTATGGAGGACTTCGCCTCCACGGACTTGCCGGCGGCCAACTTGGGCTCAACGGACGGCGCGTGAGTACTGTTACCTCCTGTTGGTTTCCTGTTGTAGTGTGGAACGGGTCTTGCTTCACTCCTCTTGTAGTGTGGAGCAAGTCTTGCTTCACTCTTGTAGTGTGGAGCGGGTCTTGCTTCACTCCTCTTGTAGTGTGGAGTACTGTCTTAGTGTGGAACATTGGTGTGTGTGATATACCCAGAGGCAGTCCTGGCTGCACTGTTCCCATCACACGTTCTCCACTTCAACACAACACACTCGCCAGCTTCCTTAACTCACTACTATCATTAAGTAATGCACACCACACAAGGTGATTGTGAGCACACTGTTACACGTTCTCTTAAATGGTGTTTATCGTGGTAACATTCTCTTCAGGAATGTTCTATTAATTGCACAATATTAAGGATTACTACGCTAATGTAACTAGGTAAGAATAGTTACTTTTTATCGTAATATTAGCTGGAGAGGTTATCAAGAGTGTTCAGTGCTCTTATTCAAGAGCACACGTCCTGCAGTCTCTTTAGTACCAATTGTTATATTTTGGGAAGCTGTTTTAGGATAGGAATTAAGAGTTTGAAGGTCATTGGTGGGTTGTTGAGGCCGAGTCAGGGCATTCCTTAGATCGTTACACATTTTATTCTTACCTATTTTCTTTCTATTCTTGTTATTCTATCATTCTTCCTTCTCGGTATCTCTTTCATTCTCACCCTCCATCTGTAATCCTTTCTCCTAGCCCTCCCTCCCCTCCGTCTCCTTCCTCCTAGCCCTCCCTCCCCCCTCTCCTTTCTATCCCTCCCCTCCTCCCTCCTCTCCCTCCTTCTCTCCCTCCTTTCTCTCCCTCCCCCCCTCTCCTTTCTCTCCCCTCCTCTCCCTCCCTCCTCTCCCTCCCCTCCCTCCCTCCCTCCCTCCCTCCTCTCCCTCCCTCCTCTCCCTCCCTCCTCTCCCTCCCTCCTCTCCCTACCTCCTCTCCCTCCCTCCTCTCCCTCCGCTCCCTCCCTCCGCTCCCTCCCTCCTCTCCCTCCCTCCTCTCCCTCCCTCCTCTCCCTCCCTCCTCTCCCTCCCTCCTCTCCCTCCCTCCTCTCCCTCCCTCCTCTCCCTCCCTCCTCTCCCTCCGCTCCCTTCCTCCTCTCCCTCCGCTCCCTTCCTCCTCTCCCTCCCTCCTCTCCCTCCCTCCTCTCCCTCCCTCTCCTACCTCCTACGCCCACCTCCCTCCCCGCCTACGCCATTACACTTCACGTACAGGGCAGTTCCGTTTCTTTCAGAGGTGTGTATGTATATCCTCCCTGGGGTGGAGGCCGTTGTGTTCCCTGGACCTGACTCTCGCCAAAATGCTTCTTTTACAATAACATTTTTTAAACTTCTTGGGAAAATCAACACAATTTTTTCGCATTTCAGAATGCCACCTTCAAGGCTTTCAGATACACATTGTGCGGGCTCACCTAAATGTGTGCGTTGTAAAGTTGAGCTGTAGCGCCTAGCCCTCGCCTCTCCAGCCATCGTTCAAACCCGTTACATGTATTTGAAAGTCTTAGACTTAATTGTAATGTCCCGGTGTCCTTAAACATTAGATTATCACGGAAATCGAGAGAAACGTAGACTCCTCTCTCAGCCGGGGAGCCGGTCGGCCGAGCGGACAGCACGCTGGACTTGTGATCCTGTGGTCCCGGGTTCGATCCCAGGCGCCGGCGAGAAACAATGGGCAATGTTTCTTTCACCCTATGCCCCTGTTACCTAGCAGTAAAATAGGGACCTGGGTGTTAGTCAGCTGTCACGGGCTGCTTCCTGGGGGTGGAGGCCTGGTCGAGGACCGGGCCACGGGGACACTAAAAAGCCCTGAAATCATCTCAAGATAACCTCAGTATTCACTCGGTAATGTTCAACCTCGTATATGCAAATGATAAACTATTATTGAACTTTTTTTTTTAATTCCAGCAAATGTCGTACTGAGAGAAGTTGCCATTTAAGCGACCTTTAAATGCGTGGTGCCAAGACAATTGTGTTGTCAGATTAGGAAAAATGTCAAGTTTTGTCCGTGCTTTGAAAACCTAATGTTTTCACTAAGAATCTTTTTCCTTGGATTACAGGCAATACAGTTCCATTGAGGAGACCTGTACCCATATGGAATTAAATGCAAATAAATACAAACTGAATAGATCAGTATTTGCTTATTTATATATACAAGAGTTCTTACATTCCTGTACAGCCACTAGCGCACACAGCGTTTCGGGCAGGTCCTTAATCCGGGATGCTCCCGGACGCAGGTTCGAATCCTCGTCACAGCCCTTGTGGATTCGTTCCTTAATCCTAATTTTCTCCGGAATACGACCCGATAAATCGTTTAACAACCAGGTACCTATTCACTGCTGGGTGAACAGAGGCTACAGTTAAAGATTGGCGCCAAGTAAATCCTCCCAAGCCAGGATACGAACCCAGGCGAAAACGCTCGAGAAAGGCCAAGCGAGTGTTTTACCACTTCGCCACGGGGAGTAAGGCGTAGGTAGGCATAACACGACTGTTTAACCTAAATTAACCATTAATTAAATTAATTGGATTAATTTGCATTTCCTGCCATGCCTCCAGGTCTCATGGGGAGTTATTTAAGTGTACAGGTTTGAAACCGGTCTCAGTAACATTTATGTATCTCATTCGCCAGTGCTCTAGAGAATACAAGATAAAAAAAATATTAAAAGTTCCAAACATTTCGATTTATTATTTGGTGGATTCAGGCAGTAAAGGATCTTTGCATGTTCACTAGGTCGGCAATTTCTTGGCTTTTAATGGGGCTGTTAGTGTTGAACAATAGGTTGAACTCTTAAGATGACTATAATGTCTTGAAGAGTGCCATCATTGGCATGGCATCACTTGTTCGCGTGGTTCTTGTTGTGCAAGCTGTGAGGAAACCCTTAGGACAGGACGGAGATAGAACCAGAGGCCAGATTCACGAAGAACTTACGCAAACACTTACGAACCTATACATCTTTTCTCAATCTTTGGCGGCTTTGTTTACAGTTATTAAACAGTTAATGAGCTCCGAAGCACCAGGAGGCTGTTTATAACAATAACAACAGTTGATTGGCAAGTTTTCATGCTTGTAAACTGTTTAATAAATGTAACCAAAGCCGTCAAAGATTGAGAAAAGATGTACACGTTCGTAAGTCCTTGCGTAAGTGCTTTCGTGAATCTGGCCCCAGCGTCCTGGGTGGCGCCAGACACGAGCCTTCCGTGATTTTCTCATAGATATATGTATCACGTTACTGTGATTTACTTGTGTATTCAACCTGTCATTTTTCTTGCAGTTGTAACAGCAACTTTATTGTGTTCTTTTAAACGTCAGGTCTGCCACGTGATTACTCCCAAATCTTTGCTGTTGTTCTATGTTCTTTTTTGTTCTACAGTGACTGTGTTTCATATTTGTTATCCGTTTTGATATTTTCATTTGTTCCTTAGCGCATCAGCTGGACCTTCATCAGATATCATACACTTTTCTGCCTGATTCACACAAGTTTGGAGGTTTGCTGTGTGTTCGCTGTATTGTCCGCTCTCATAAAGAATCAGTGTCAGGTGCAAAGGATGATACGGTAGTGTAGTTTGTGTCCTTGTCTGTGTTCGATACCGGGAGGAGGGAAGGGACCAGAGCAAGCAGCTCCCTCACGTTCTACTGGAGTTGGTGTTGAGGCGCGGTGCTGGTGGGTGGTTTCCCACTCCCCACGGCCTCTATGTAAACACACACTCACTCGCTCTCACACATACTCTCACACTCTCACTGTCCTTACCGTGAGATGATTTCTCTCATACTTTCTCTCACTCACTCTCTCACACTCAGAATATTACTTTAGTTAATAATATTACTTTAGTTAATGTAATTTGCGTTTGGGTGGAAATGTTGTGTACTAATCTTCACATGTGGTAGATCCAGTAAGTAATATTGTTTAATGTACCGCTGTTGGCATGTTTCTGTGGAATTTTTCTAATTATGTCTAAATTTTCCTTAAAAAGCTGAAGCTGCTCTGTCTTTAATATGCTTTACTAAACAAATGTACATAATGATGTTTGTGTATGGAGGTGTATGTCTCCTACTGCATGTCAGTGCTGAGGTATGTTGTGTGTTGAGCACCACCTGGGTGTTGAGCACCACCTGGGTGTTGAGCACCACCTGGGTGTTGAGCACCACCTGGGTGTTGAGCACCACCTGGGTGTTGAGCACCACCTGGGTGTTGAGCACCACCTGGGTGTTGAGCACCTGGGTGTTGAGCACCACCTGGGTGTTGAGCACCACCTGGGTGTTGAGCACCACCTGGGTGTTGAGTACACCTGGGTGTTGAGCACCCCCTGGGTGTTGAGCACCACCTGGGTGTTGAGCACCCCCTGGGTGTTGAGCACCACCTGGGTGTTGAGCACCACCTGGGTGTTGAGCACCACCTGGGTGTTGAGCACCACCTGGGTGTTGAGCACCCCTCTAGGTGTTGAGCACCACCTGGGTGTTGAGCACCACCTGGGTGTTGCTACCTCCACGACACACAAGATGCCGTGGCTGGGGCGTGGGGTTGTGTTGACTGGATGTGTGTGCGCGCGCTTGTGTGCGTGACTTGAGTGTAACCTGTGTTTGTCCTGTGTGGTTTTTCCAGCAGCGCCGCCGTCTCCAACACCTTCAGATTCCTGCAGTCCGCCTGGTCCTCTCAGTGTGACTTACTGTGAGTTGACGTTTGTCTTCGTGTCTGTGTGTGCAGCGGTAGTGCCCTTAGCGCCCCCTCTCCCTATCCTTCCTCTACCTGTTGGATTATCTTGTTGTGTCCCGCTCCTTGCTATACTGTGGCAGTGGTCTCAGGTTTGGTGGCGCTTCCCTCTCGCACCCACCCTTCTCCTTGCCTATCTACCTACCCCCTCCTTGCCTACCTACCTACCCCCTCCTTGCCTACCTACCTACCTGCCCCCTCCCTACCTATCTTCCCTTCACTCACCACAAAAAACCTGCCCACATAAAACCCACCATTCTCACGCACCTTCCACCTACATATCCACCACCCCCCCTCAACCTCACCCCCAGGTCCCCCCCCCTACTCAACCCCCACCACCTCCCTCAACCCCACCATCACCATCACCTCCCACCACAATTTTCACCACTACTCTTCATCCTCAACCTTGAAGGCTAATTGTCCTCCGTTTCACCGGCGGACAAGACAATGCTGGTGTGTGTGAGGCGAGGCGCTCTTGACCCTAGCTAGGGTTCAGGCCTGAGACCCGCAGTGTAGCGCTACAGTACTCCTCGCCCTGTAGCTCTACTTTGAAACCTGTAATTGTGACGTGTACTGTAGCGTAGTCTGTCCACCTTGTCCGCCCCACGTTTGCTCTACGCCTGTATTTGTGTCAGCTTTGTAACTCGATAATTTAGTACACAAGAATTGCCACATAAATGGGAACTTTTAAGGCGCGGGCGAAGTGTGTCTTATCTAGCCCAAAGCCAGCATAGCACGGGGCCTAATCAGTTTCTAAGTTAGGTATGATTTTGTTAGGTTGGATTGTACTAAATTGTTTAGTTGCAAAACGGGATTTTAAGTTTATTAAAATACAGTATAAAGCAAGCGTGAGGATGGGTAGGTATAGTGCACGGCCAGTGATCCCTGTAGGTTGTAGGCCTGTGTTGTGTAGCCTGGCTGGTGTAGCCTGGCTGGTGTAGCCTGGCTGGTGTAGCCTGGCTGGGGTAGCCTGGCTGGGGTAGCCTGGCTGGGGTAGCCTGGCTGGTGTAGCCTGGCTGGTGTAGCCTGGCTGGTGTAGCCTGGCTGGTGTAGCCTGGCTGGTGTAGCCTGGCTGGTGTAGCCTGGCTGGTGTAGCCTGGCTGGTGTAGCCTGGCTGGTGTAGCCTGGCTGGGGTAGCCTGGCTGGTGTAGCCTGGCTGGTGTAGCCTGGCTGGTGTAGCCTGGCTGGTGTAGCCTGGCTGGTGTAGCCTGGCTGGTGTAGCCTGGCTGGTGTAGCCTGGCTGGTGTAGCCTGGCTGGGGTAGCCTGGCTGGGGTAGCCTGGCTGGGGTAGCCTGGCTGGGGTAGCCTGGCTGGGGTAGCCTGGCTGGGGTAGCCTGGCTGGTGTAGCCTGGCTGGTGTAGCCTGGCTGGGGTAGCCTGGCTGGGGTAGCCTGGCTGGGGTAGCCTGGCTGGGGTAGCCTGGCTGGGGTAGCCTGGCTGGTGTAGCCTGGCTGGTGTAGCCTGGCTGGTGTAGCCTGGCTGGTGTAGCCTGGCTGGTGTAGCCTGGCTGGGGTAGCCTGGCTGGGGTAGCCTGGCTGGGGTAGCCTGGCTGGGGTAGCCTGGCTGGGGTAGCCTGGCTGGGGTAGCCTGGCTGGGGTAGCCTGGCTGGGGTAGCCTGGCTGGTGTAGCCTGGCTGGTGTAGCCTGGCTGGGGTAGCCTGGCTGGGGTAGCCTGGCTGGTGTAGCCTGGCTGGTGTAGCCTGGCTGGGGTAGCCTGGCTGGTGTAGCCTGGCTGGTGTAGCCTGGCTGGTGTAGCCTGGCTGGTGTAGCCTGGCTGGTGTAGCCTGGCTGGTGTAGCCTGGCTGGGGTAGCCTCGCCTGTAAACACATGTACGATGTTGTTGTTTAAGATTCAGCTACCAGGAACAAACAGTTCCAAGTAGCACGGTCTATGGTGAGCCCGTAGTGGACTTGCCTGGCACAGGAGCGGGGCAGGCATGTACGAGCTCCCTCCTTCAGGTAGCTAACATTTACAGCAACTGGGAACAGTAGAGGCGTCGAGCCCAACCCTTGGGGAACACTACTTGTTACTTTCCTCCTACTCGAAGCCTCATCCCTGAATGTGATAGTTTTCAATCATTGGGTAGTCCCACAGCCCCGCTCCTGTGCCAGGTAAGTCCACTACGGGCTCGCCATAGCCCGTGCTACTTGAAACTTGTTCCGAGTAGCTGAATCTATAACAACAACAACAACTTGGGTAGTCCCTCGCCCAGTTTAGTATCTCCCCAAGTATCCCTGCTTGCTTCTCCATCTTGAACATCAGCCTTTCATGAGGAACGTCATCAAATGTAACATATCTTAGAAACCAAGACTGGAAGCAGGTGTCAAGCAGGAAGATAATCAGCCTTCTTTCCCCTGTCATATTTTAGCAACTTTGTCATAAAAAGGAACCGGGTTTGTCAGGCAAGACAAATCTCTGCTGCCCATGTGTTATAAAATGTATCCTCTCCAAGTGTTCATTTATTCTCAACCTGATTACTTTTTCAATCACAATACACGGAATACTAGTCGGTGACTTGTCTAGTTTACCGTCTCGCCTGTCTGTCTCGTACTCACCTAGTTGTGCTTGCGGGGGTTGAGCTTTGGCTCTTTGGTCCCGCCTCTCAACCGTCAATCTTACTGGTGACATTCTGTTCATTTGTATACTGTCTTCCTTGCCAGTTGTCTCCCCATAGGTTGCCATGCAGGAGGTCCTCACCTTACTGTAGTCCCCCATCCGTGTCTGTAACGTGTCATCTTCAACAGGTTTCTTTGTGTAACCAAATCCTTCAGTTGTAATATGTGCTCCAGTACCCTGATAGTGGCCGCTACCTCCTACAGGCGTCTCATTTTGGGAGAACACCGAGTCTAGTGTGGCTGGGATAGTAGGGAGGAGGAGGAGGAGTAAAGGGGTGGAGGATGAGTGATAGAGAGAGAGAGAGTGAGAGTGGAGGAGGAGGAGGAGCAGCAGCAGCAGCATCTTGGAGGAGGAGGGAGAGAGGAGAGGCCGCCGGCCCAGCTCATATGTTTAACATGAGCCGCCTTAAAGCTGACCTCTCCTCCCACCCAGTGTGTTGTCTCTTTATTGTGTTCTTGAGGCTCTGGTGCCCCCTCTAATTCCCTCCCCCCTTCCCCAATCACCCTTATCCCCCCCCCCCCTCTTCACCTCTTCTTTACACCCTTTTCTCTCCTTCCTAACTTTCCAATCCTTCCTTTCTTCCTCTGCGTTTCATCGCCTCTCCTCCCCTCTGCCCAGTCCACTATACGAATGTAGGCAGAATACGGCGACTCTAATTTAATAAAATAGGAATAAAAAATCACTTAAATGCCTGAATAACGAAAGCCAAAACTACCTTAGGCAAACTGAGAAGATGGTAACCCAGACACGAACACAACTTCACTTACACAAGATTTCTCCAACATCTCCAACACTTAGAGTACCACTACACACCCTCCAATACCACTACACACACCCTCCAATACCACTACACACACCCTCCAGTACCACTACACACCTTCCAGTACCACTACACACACCCTCCAGTACCACTACACACCCTCCAGTACCACTACACACCCTCCAGTACCACTACACACACCCTCCAGTACCACTACACACACCCTCCAGTACCACTACACACACCCTCCAGTACCACTACACACACCCTCCAGTACCACTACACACACCCTCCAGTACCACTACACACACCCTCCAGTACCACTACACACCCTCCAGTACCACTACACACCCTCCAGTACCACTACACACCCTCCAGTACCACTACACACCCTCCAGTACCACTACACACCCTCCAGTACCACTACACACCCTCCAGTACCACTACACACACCCTCCAATACCACTACACACACCCTCCAGTACCACTACACACACCCTCCAGTACCACTACACACCCTCCAGTACCACTACACACCCTCCAGTACCACTACACACCCTCCAGTACCACTACACACCCTCCAGTACCACTACACACCCTCCAGTACCACTACACACCCTTCAGTACCACTACACACCCTCCAGTACCACTACACACCTTCCAGTACCACTACACACTTCAACCTAAACTAACAAGCAAAAACTAGAATGCTCCTTCAGCTTGTTGGCCAAGAGTTTGGATCTACTCTTGGGCTATCAAACCCCACAATACATAATTCCAAGATTAAATGCAGACTAGAAACTCCCCGCACGTATAAAAAGTGCGTGGATTTTGTTATGGATTGTTCTTCCTGTGAGGAATCAATTGTTCAGCCAGAGTGCACTGAGCTGAACTGTTTACGGCTGGATCCATTTACGGCTGGATCCATTTACGGCTGGATCCATTTACGGCTGGATCCATTTACGACTGGATCCATTTACGGCTGGATCCATTTATGGATGTGGAGTAATACCTATTCCGAGTGAGGGAGGAAGGAATGGCTTCATGTGGCTGGACATGGGCGACCCAGTTACGGTTTTACAAACTAGTGTGGACATGGTTGTACTCCGGAGACTGATTGGAACTGTGTTTAAAAAGTGTTTGTAAACAATGAGTCTTAATAACGTGGCTGAAGATATGATGATCAAACTACACATCAAAACATGGAGAAACGACGACGTGTAATAAAATGAGGGGGATTGATGATTGATGAAGCCACCCAAGAGGTGGCACGGGCATGAATAGCCCGTAAAGAAAGAGGGGAAGGGGCACGCAAATAAATAAGGTAAGAGTGAGATGAAAGGTCAGAAGCAAGCAAGAGAAAAAAGGTAGGAATTAGAAACGGGGTTTAGAATTAGAGAGAGAGCACAACTTAAGTCAGATCACCCTGTGTAACTCTCTAAAAAGATCTTTTTTCACTGCCATCTCCCACACCTCAACCTCTCCCTTTCATCCCATTCCAAACCCACTGCATGCCTTCCCCTCCTAGTCCCACTACATAACCACCTTACCTTGAGGTTACCTTGAGGTGCTTCCGGGGCTTAG